TGAAAACATGTCGAGTTTTCATTTTAATAACGACTCTTCTGACAGCGGTGTGACATATTCCCAAATGTATACGATATTGTTGTTAAAATTATAAGCAAAATATTCTCTCGTATATCAAAAATAATGAATTCTAAACGTGAACACATACAACTGAGGGGAAAAATTATTCTAATGAATGAATGCAAGTCCCGATTGGTACGAAGTATCTAAGTACTTAATGAAACTTTGAATTCATTTTTCAAAATTATTTTTGTCGAAGAAAGCTTACGACTACTTAAAGGAACGTCTTTCAAAGAACACGTACTTCATAAATTCTATTTCTATTTATAAATATACCCGACCGTTATTGCTTTTATGGTGTTTTCTAAAGATTTTTATGGGTATCGCAAATCACGTCATTTGTGATCTGGTGACCTATTTTTTTTTTATTTTATATTTATTATTCTTATTATTATCAGATGTAAGTCTAATTTGGTCTAAGTATTTCTCTCTACCCTAAGGCTGTCTAACAGATTTCACTATTTATCAATAAAGCCTCTTATTGTTGCTACTTTGTCATATTTCTTATAATGTTCTATTTTTGAACTGTGTATATATATTTCTTCTTTGGTGCGGGTATTAAAAAGATGTCATTTATTCGAAATATGTGTATAAGTAATTGTTCTTTTAATGCGTTTCCATTACGTACTACTCCCCCTGATCCCGCAATTTATGTAATGTATCTGCATTGAACTGCATACTCGTAATTCAACTACTGGAACTAGGTTAGTAATAAATTCTATACGCGACAGTTACTACTTTCCATCAGGTCAGTCGTCAGCTTGTTTGCTGTTTTAAGTGGCATAAAAAGTTGATGAAAACCTATCGCATATCCAAAGAGCTTTAGTGGAGTTTGCAGAAATTTATTAGTTTATGAAAACAATCTCTTATAATAGATTATTATCATCATTTATAGAGATTACTCGGGGATCGCCGCAGATTCTCATTACGATAGCTCGTGATCCTTAACCGAATGGTCGGTGATTTGATCTGTTTCATAGCTATATTCCAATGGTAAATTGAGACTCGAGAATACAGATATAAATTTATACTGATACCGCGATTATGTCGTGCAAGTTGAGCGAGCCACTTTAACTGTAAACCAATTTGAATATTTATATCAGCTCGGGTGTACCCATTTTTGTATTTAGGTGGTTTCTTCATTACTATTGATCTATCTAAGTCTTGCCCACCATTTGGTTATGTCGTCAGGATTGATCTTGATTCTCCTTCGCAAAAGTTTTGCAGAATCAGAGGTTCTATAGCTTTGTTTTAAGGTTGATGAAATCGCTACTTGAAAACCTTCTTTTCCTATCAGTTGTTGATACGTTGAGGTATTGGTTGGCCCATAGCCACTTTAACTTAATCCTTTTAGCTATACAGGTAGAAATCGAAATTGTTAGTATCCTTTTAAAGGATTGTTCTGCGGATAAATGTGAACATTGTCAAATGAGCCAAAAATACAACAAAAAATGTTGATTTTATACTTTCTCGTTATTTACACATATTTTAAATACACAATCGGGACTTAACGCAATGTAAATGCGTTTACAGGTAAATAGTACCTACATACCTGCTTCTTTATTGCCGACGTTTCGACGTCGTAAAGGCTTTTATATCGCGTTAAGTCCCGATTGCGTATTTAAAAAAGTTGAGCTTCCTCTTCTATTTGACAATAAGACATGGCATATTCATATGAGTATGAGAGGCTTAAATTTTTTATCGTTTTCTAACCATGTTTTTTATGGAAACGTAAATGTTCAATTTCATGGGTAAAACATTCGCTTAAATGTTGCCAATAATTTAGATTAGATATATAAACTCATTGTAGTTTTTTCACAGATCTTATTACCTTCTATTGTTCGAATTACCTTAGAATGATACCAATTCTATTTTACACTAGACACAAGTCATTATAAATGTACGTAACAATTCCGGTGTACGAACGTGTGAACCCAAAACAAACTTTCCGGTTAAAAATGCTACGGTAACGACACGAAAATCAACACGCAACGTTTACACGCCCGGCCACGTTTACACAGTTGCTTATGGTATGGTATAAATTGTGTAGGTACATCCGTATATTTGTACGAGTATATCCGTGTATCGGCTTTTGGGCCCAGTATAGAATGGACCACCCCTTCATTTACCGTGGGTATCGTAAGAGACGACTAAGAGAACTTAATGGTCAAATTTAGAGCAGCAGCGTCCCTCTTAAAACATTACCAAAATCTAACGGTTGTTGCCAACCCATTTGCCAAATATAGCAACTATTGGCAAAACCTCCTTTTATTAGAGAAAGCCTTTGTTCAGCAGAGGATAGTTAAAGGATGATATAACAATGATATCCGTATATCAAACCGGTTAGAGGCTAGAGGTACGAGTATTATTAGCGACGGATACAATTCCTCAAAAAGGTTTGAAATTATAGGGATTGGATAAATAATAACGCGACATATAATAAGCTAATTGATGACAAAAATAAATTATATACCAAACTTGCATTTTGCAACAAAAATGTAAAAAAAATCACAATTCTTTACTTGAACTTAAATTTCTAATAATTTTTGGTACGTTCCGCACGATTGTGATCATCTGGGATTCAATGTGACCTATGTTCTTCTCCATTTATGCGCTTTCTCCATTCTACGCTTATCCTTAATTTTATAACAGCTGGTTTAGCCGTTAAATCTCTAAGTAACAATGAAACTTTCATTTACAATTTTATTAAGGACAGAAACAACATTGGATGTACAAACATAACAATTACCATGTCGGCCGTCGTGGACGGCGTCTAACAAGCACAAAGCCCCTACAGCCCGCAAATCCTTTCCCGTGGGATCACAAACAATCCCATTGTGTTCATCCCGTTACTGTAACGATAGTAAACGGTTTGGTAGCTGGGTAGTATCTATTTTATGTTCGCCCTGTCAGCTAGACCTGTTTTACGAGCGAACTTTGTCTCAACTCCAATTCTGCGGAAGCACATAGGTCTTACGGAAACAAGATCTCGAATCCAATAAATGTGACTTACAGACAGACTGTTGTAACTTTTATCGGTAAATGTACTACATATATATACATTTTTATTGCGATTCGTGGATATTAGATAGGTACATTACGCATGGGAATGGATTAGAATGTGGAAAGAATTTACGATAAGTGGCTTGATAAAAACGCAAACTTCCCATTTCTTTTCAAATTTTTGTTTTTATTTTCATAATTTTTACTAAATTTAGTACATACTAAGTTATGTTAAAATTATGTAAAGAATTTCCAGTACCTTTTTTTTATACCACTAAGGTGGCAAACAAGCATACGGCCCACCTGATGGTAAGTGGTTACCGTAGCCTATGAACACCTGCAATACCAGAGGTACGCGTGCGTTTCCGACCCTGAAGAAACCTTTTTACCCCCCTTTGAAGAACCCCATGCTGTAGTCTCTTGGAAAAATCTCGGCAGGGAGCTCATTCCACAACCTGAGTGTACTTTACTATATGATAACAATTTAAAAACAAACGTCTGAAGAGAAAGTTTAACATTTTACTCCAAAAAATTTACTTTGATCTTTTCCAAATTTTCTTCGTAATAATTCGATGTAAAAAAAAAACAACAAATCCGTTCACAATTAATGAAAACCCACATATAGAAGTATATTAAATGTACAAGATTTCAAGCGCGTTAATTATAGAAATGTCATTTGGACTATGATTATTTATGATTATACCGTTCAGGGTATATTTGAGATTTCTCATAAGTGCGTTTTCGGGTACCTGAGTATAAGTTCCGAGTCGCCTAATAGCCCGGTTCACGCTTACGACGTCGTTACCCCCTGCCCGGCCCGCCCTGGTGCAAATTATTAAATTTCATCACGAAATATTTCACAGGGACGTGTACAATCATTATATATAATAGGCTTTTCATAACGATGTCCTGTTGTGACGCGAAATATTCAGTTACAGAATTTTAAGAGAAAAAGCAGCGTATGTAAAGCTCATATTTTTCGCCAAATTTTGAGTTGGCAATTACCTCGGATTGATGGGGCAAGAAGATTAATAGACTAAATGACGGAAACTGTCATTTTTATATAAAATGAGGGTGGCGATGAAATGTACAGTTTTTTATTATATAACTTAGAATGACAAATAAGCTAATGGGCCACCTGATGGAAAGTGGTAACCGCCGCCTATAGACATGAGCAGTACCAGGGACATAACAGAGTATATTGTTTCGCCCACGATACCCCCCATGCGTTGCCATTCCTGGGGACTCGGATGTTATTCCTCTGTACCCTGTAAATTCACGCCATATCCCACCCTTCAAACCGAAACACAGCCATGCAAACACAACTGCTTTACGGTTGAAACACGAATAAACCAGAGGTACCCAAGCAAACAACTTTTGTACGAATTGTTCCTCTAGTACAGTTTTTATGATGGTAAGCGGTCGTCACAGCTCATGATCATCAGCGGCTTAGCAATTCTTGTATAAAACAGTTTCAGTTATACGACTTGCAACTAAAATGGTCAAATAATCCTTAATCATAAAACTTTCAATTCCAATCTATTTCTAAAAAGAATTATTAGCAAACTACCTATTTCCTACGGCTTTGCCTTGCGTGAATTAGTACATTAACTATCCTATGTACTAAATTAGGAAATAACCTACCCGTGCACTAAATCTCATTCAGATTAGTAGTTTTTCGCTTTAAAGATTATCAAAGATCCATCCATCTATTCTTCTTTACAAACTTGCACATGTAAACTAGTAATAAGATAATTTACTTAATCTAGTAATGGGAAACATAGTCGTGTTATCTATCCCTGTAATACAATATACTCGTACAGTAACTTTGAGATAAATACTCTCAATAGTAAATACCAAAGACGTAACTACATTATGCAAAGCCTTCTTTTGTTGAATTATCATTGTTTTAACGACGTATTTCTCTTTGTTTCCAGACGTACCATACTTGGAGCTCGATGAGCCAGAAGAAGGCTACCATGGGCTGATCCGAGAGAACGAAACGCTGGTAGAGGTGACGCCTGCGATCAGGGCTCGAGGACCATTGTGCTCCTTCCTGATACTCAACAACGAGTTTAAAGAGGCGCCCTTCGAGGTAAGTTTATTGAAATTTCCAATAGCCCCAAAATTTTTTTTAAATCCTTCTTTTATACCATCGACACCCTTGCACTTTAAGATCATCATAAGTTCTTAAAATATTTTTTTTGTCTTTAGAACACTTCCAAAGATTTTATTTCTGTTGTGGGTGGAAGTGGAATCTTACTTATAAAGATGAATTCCGAACTCCACCAAGTGCCAATAATCTCTAGTATCAACATAATATACGAGGAACTTTTGGTAAAGTTGAAAAGTTACGTTCGAAATGGTGAATGAATGAATGGTTGGAATGGCGAAATTCTAACATCATATGGCATTTTAAAAGTGCTGACAAATAATAAATAATCATGTGTATGAAGTGTTGAAATTTTCTATAACTTAGATATACCACCTTGATTCTGTATTAGTCTTGAAATCTCCTGCAAAGAGAAATCCTCCTTCAGATCCCGGTTTCTATGAACGCGGAGAGAAATCCCTTACTACAAACTCCCGCTGTTTATGTATCTTGCATGCAACTTATGAATATAGCATAGCACGTAAGCGACCAAGGCTTAACCTCATGAGTAGTACTGTTCAAACGTCTCTTTGAGATTCATCAAACGTCTTTGTCTTTAATTATATTAGGCCAAACGTATATTCATTAGATGCAGCGTTTAATCTCAGATAGCTGTTATTTGCTTGTATACTAATTCTCTTGTATAACTCATTAATGTCCTCATTATATTATACTACCTCTAAACTGGGTTTGCTTGAATGAATTTGGATTAAAAGTATCCTATAGCCTTATATAGGATATGGTTATCTTCATGCGAAGTTCTAGTGAGGTCATCGTTAATATTCGTAACAAATTCTATTAAAATCTGTTTAGCTATTTAGACGTGATTGAGTGATAAACATCCAAATATTTTCATAAACTTTCACATTCATAATATTTTATTTCTGGTGCTAAAAATAATTTCCCCAACACGAGGCCATTTTTCACCGAAACTTCAATTATTTATTTATCAAGTGGAGTATCTTTCTGTGTGTTTATATATTTTCTCACGATTTTTCTATTACACTCGCAATAAATCTCTTTCGGCGAACTTATTTCGTTCGTATCTGTTGGATGGGTCTCGTGATACAAAACTTGAGTTTTGTATTGTGTTTGGCTCAGTTTAGGTGTATTACGTTTTGTGTCAATAGTGTGTCTATGTATCCCCGAATAAATTATATTTCATATCATTTTAAATCATTCTTTACAAGGGATTTTCAAAAGGAGGGGATTTTCCTGTATTTTTCATACAATATCTTCGCCATTGATTCTTGCTGTGATTTCTCTCTCATGTTGATTCCATGTTGTCAGATTGAGGCACCAGCACCATCAGACGGGCTGTATGTTTGTTTGCCACCTTTGTGGTATAAAAAAAGCGTTATAAATATTTTCAATATAATGTGTCTACAAAACAACTATTCGTTCATTTTTGTATGTGTGCATGCACGCTTGAAGTCCCTTTTTTGTGGGCAATGTGTATTTGTTCTATTATGTTGTATCAGCCATTAACTGTCCACTGCTGAACATAGCCTCTCCCATACGGGGATGTGTTGCCAGTAGTTGCCACGGTTGGCAAACGGGTTGGCAACTGCAGTTTGGATTTTGGTGATGTTTTAAAAAAGACGTTGCTACCCATCCTTCGACATTAAGTTCCCTTAGTCGCCACTTACAAAACCCACGGGAAAGGAAGAGGTCCTACACAGCGGTACCTATTATATTGGTGTCTGTAATGTGAATAAATTATTTTTATTATACCTTAGAGCAGTGATGCATCCGATAAAAAGTGGTAACCGTCACCTGTAAATGTGAACAAATGGAATTAATTTGCCTCAGTAGCATAAGGATGCTTGCTACAGAAAAAGTGTTACGAGAACGTTAACGTAATAACGGACCCGAAATGTTTTCGCACCTTTTTTTTTAATAAAAACCACAGCAAAGGGCTCATAGCATTATGTGAGCGTGCGAGGGAGGACACCCTCTGAAACCGCATGTGTACAGGTATATTTACATATTGGAGCTGATAAGAAGCTGAGCTCCTGACGACTGAGAGTGGTGTCGAGTTAATGTTTATATTTATACAATTTATGTGAAATAACCATGTACGTTTTCCAGGATTGAATCTTTTTTTGTATAAGTACTTATTTATTTGTTTATATAGGATACCTTGTAGTTTGATATATGAGAAACGAGATAAACGTCACCTAGGAACACAATTCCAGAATATCCAGACCTAAACCAAATAACTATTTCATTAATATTGTACCAGCAATATTAATTAACGGAACTGAGATCTTAAATGAATTATAGAGAATAATTTAATACTAAACAAGATATATTGGGCATAATGAAGACCCCGTGGGTCGATTCTCGCTCAAAATTTTGGGAAAAGAAAGTCTTTTTCATATTGGCTCTAGTTCTGGTTATTCTGGTTGCAGCTAGATGATCAGTGTGTAGTTTCTCATAATACAGAATTAAGAATTTAACGATAGGCGTGATTTATTTATTTATTTATTCATTAGTACAAATATGTGTACATGGCGGACTTAATGCTAAAAGCATTCTCTCCCAGTCAACCATAGAGAAATGTCAGAATACTCGAATGCAATACTACTAATTATTGATATACATACATACTAAAATTACATATATAAACGAATAAATATATATGTATAACAAATATACTTACACATATATGACATATATTATATTATACACGAAATTGAGAATAATATAAAGCACTTACTGCTCGGATAAAGATAAAAAGTGAGCGTGAACGCTTTTTTTTTTAAAGGCGGTTTATTGTATTGTACTTATTTATTATTCGCTCTCGTAAATGTTAATCTATGATCTGTATATCAAGTTTAGCCAAGTCTTCAGAACAAGTTTTGATGGGCGACTAGTTGGCTGACTGATTTATCAAAGTGCAGCCGTTAAAGTTAGAAACTTAAAATTTTGAACATCGATCCTTGTTAAGCAGTGGGCATTGTTTAAACAAGAAATTCCCGATATTAATTAGGAAACGAGAGATAACGGACGAAGCTGTAACAGATAGTAAATACGTAAATAGACCATTTAATAATAACAAACTGTATTTCACTTCAGTAATCACGATAAAGTTAAATTAGTTAAATACATACAGATAAGCCCGTTGTTATTGCTTGGTGGCAACAGTGTGGAGTTTGATAATAGACCTTTCCGAATAACTAAGTTAGATCTGAAGGATCCCAAATAGGATTATCCAGAATCTAATTTCGGGTTGGGGAACTTGTTAGGGAATTCTTACCTGAGAGCGAAGCCAAGGTATCGGTAACGAAGCTTATAGCACATACGTGCACATATCAATTTCATTCAATGATATTTATTCAATCTTTGTGGACCAATAAAATATAGATACAAGAGGCAGACTTACTGCTATAGCTATTCTCTACAAGCCAACCTCTAGGATATTGATTTCATTGTGTACCAAAATTAAAGTTTTTGATATAATAAAGTTTCATATTTTTTTATTTTGGTCGTCAAACATAGGAATAGCCAGACTATATGCATCTACTGTAACCGCATAGATGTTTGCAGTATCAGAAGCATTAATAGGATTTACCAATCCTTGTGACATTAATATCTTGAGTTACAATACCTAATCTCGCTCTTTAAACCGGAATACAGCAAATACGGTTGCATGAAGATAGAAATAGGTAAAGTAGAGGGTACCAATGCTGATGAATTTGTATGATATCTCTATCTGGTAAATCCCTCCGTCTATATGAAAGCAAATATTAAAGCAAACCAAATCTAGGTACGGTAATACTACAAGAGTTATTTGTTAGTAATTCCCATTTCGCGTCCGACCGAATCAAAGATACCTACTCCTTGTTTGCTTGCATTTGAAAATCGTTATTAGCATCCTCACTTCTATGGCGCGTTTTGTTTTTACATCAAAAATTGACGACTCTTATATTTGATAAAATGCACGTCTATCGTCACGTATATCGTGAACATTTTTATTTATACAAATAACAGATTGAGGATTTCAAAAATTATTTCTAGCGTTCTAAATTAAAAAAAAAATTATAAACTACCACTTGGGGATTCACTACTATTATTTTATTGTTATTATTTCATCCGTTAACTGTCCATTGCTGGACATAAGCCTTCCCCATAAGGGGCGTTTAACCAGCAATTGCCAAGCTTGGCAAGCGGCTTGGCAACCGCAGTTAAGCTTTAAAAGTAGTTTTAAGAGGGACGCTGCATCCCATCCTTCGCCTTCCATTAGTAGCCTCTTATGACATCCACGGGAAAGGTAGGGCCATTCTATGCCGGGGCACACACGGTGATACTATTATTATTAGTAGAATTTTAAAACTAAATGACACCGATTCAGTAAAATACAAAATGTTATTTCGGGTTTTCCTTTTTGTGCATTTATATATAAGTTTCTCCTTATCAGATCATTACGAATCGAGTCGCAGCAAATTGTCAGGGACATGGCAGATAACCGAGTACGTGCCGGTTAACTTGCGGGAAAGTGCATGCACAACACCATGATACGAAACTGTTATTATGTAACCACTCTTTGAAAATATACGACCTAAGATAGCTAACTTAATACAACGTTAAATACTTGAAGCCTCTTCTCAACAAGTGCAAACGAACACTGAACGGTTTCTGTTAAAAATACAACACATATAGCCAACTTTGATCCGCAACTTAGTTCGGAAGTTCGAAACTTGAGCGGTGGACTTTAGGAAGCCGTCTTATACTAGTTTATTCTAAAATGTCTTTATCTCAGTCAGAGAAAGGTAGGGTCTCTTTTGGGTGATTACCAGTTCTGTTACTTTTTACAGGTAATTTATATTTTAGGAAAAAACTTTACCTATGTAATATATTTCGTATCCAACGCGAATAGTTTTCTCCCGTGGATATACAAGTTATGGATCTAAATCCATAGTCTTTGTTGAAGTTTTTCAAGAGGATACGAAGACCATATAGTTCTCAAAAAAACGTAAAAGGGTTTCTTCAAGGTTGACATAGCGCACATAGTATGCCGGTATTGAAGGCTGAGATGGATGTGTAGGCTACGGTAATACAAAAAACTATTAACCGACAAGGCATAAATAAAGTAACACAAAATGCCCTGATTAAAATAGTTCCACTTCGCTTCTTCCACATTCGTTAATCTATTCATGTAAGCTCGCAGCAAAATCTACTTCTTATCATATAGCACCTAACGTTGATAGTTTTATTTCGTTCCATCGAATACTATTACAATTTATTCAGTTCACCATGGAGTGCATGAGAATAACATGCCTGAACTGAACACGTCGCAGTCGTCTGGCGCCGCTATTTCGCCACATTTATTTTTATCGAGCTCCCAACTTCCCGTGTTTCCGTTTTGCAGTGCAATAATAGAACAGAACTGTCACTTCTTTTAACACTAAATGTAATGTATTATGTTGTTTACCATTAGGTTGACTTTGGTCGGATATTGCTTTTACGAGCATGTGTTGCTCTGTTATCGAAAATGGCTCTTGTCTTTATATTTTTAAGCGATTTCAAAGAGAACGTTCTCCATTTGCCAAATTTGAACCGATTTTGAGAAATCTTTCTGTATAGACTTTACTTCCGTCTTGGGCCCATAACCATATTTATTTTAATGGAAATGGCAATTTTTAGGGATTTACACATTCCAAATGTAGTTTCAATGTCGACTTGCTCACAATCAGTTCCAAGTTAATATTATTTCAATCCTCAGATTGCATAGTACGCTGCTAATCCAATGTACTCGTATGGCAATGTCCTGCATCGTAGATTTCAATGTCCGTTATCACGAGCATTCTGAAAAGGGCGTGTAAAATTGGTATATAAGTCTTTGTAAGCCCGGCGTGTTCTGATAAAGGAAACTAACGTATTCACGATCGGCTACAACAATCTGCCTATTTGGGAACAAAGGAACGCGGCAGGCCGATAGGCAGCAGGTCATTGGAACGTGAAAGATATTTCACGCTGAATTGTATTTTTTCAACAATTCAGCTCCTATTCTATTATCGCTCTTTCAAATCTAATGGAAATGTTAACTATTTTTGCTCGATTTGTAATAGGGATGTGCATTGGCAGTGCAATTATAATTTACAAAAGCATCATCGTCATCGTTTATTTGCAAAAATATTACAATTCTTGTTAGTGGATGGCATTAGTTGACTCACCCATATTATGGATCAATCTTAGACATGCAATTGTTACTTACTAGCTTTTATCCGCAACTTCGTTCGCATAATCGATACATGTTTCTCAACGGGATATTAATGGGTTGTTGTGACCGTTAATGATAAAGAATGATCTTCATTGTTACAGGTAATGGTGATAGACGAAAACGAAGCCCGTCTGCGCGTGCGCTACCTACTCAATTGCGAGAGGCGGCGCTCCTACAAGTTCGACATTGCCGCCGTCGGCTGCGATGGCTCCTACTCCAACACGTGAGTCTTCGCTCCCATTGTTTTTGTCTTTGTCACAATCTTCTTACTGAATTTCTTTTTCATCCTTTTAATGAGAGTAGTAAAAAGTGATATAAAACCATTCATACTTTTAATATAGATTCAGAAGTATATTTGCTTTAGACCAGGGGTGACCGACTTGACTATACCCAAGATCTACTGTTTACTGACGAAATACTGCGGTCTTTCAATTACATACTTCTTGAAAACTCAAATGAAACAACTTAGTTTAGTACACAATTATGGAGTATTGTAGTATTTTTTTTTTATTTTATTAAGAGGGAAAACATAAAACTGAAAATTATACTCAGTAACTACTTATTTATATTAGTGTGATCATTGCGTCTGAGCATCTTCCGCTAGAGCTGGCCACCCCTGTCGTAAAAAACAGAAAAACAAAATTGCTGGCAAATGTTGTCAAAATTATATAATACAGCAAGATGTTATATATTACTAAAATTTCTATACCATTTTGAAATGAAGGGTTAGGAATGGTAGTATACTTCTGAGGTGAAGGCAACACAAAGGAGTAATCGAGGCGGGAGAGGTTTGATTGACAATTTGAAGATGCGTAGAACAATCGCTCATGCGAAATGAATTAGCGCAAGGGCGGGTTATTTATAGAAATAAGAGGGGTGTTGCCAAAACAAGATCATTAAATTGAAGCTAGAATTATATAGTTAGCTGTAAAGGGGTTATGTAGGTACTGCTTAATCATAAGTGATTGAGACGAGTTGGTAGTTTGAATAACAAAAGGAATTGGTTAGGGGAAATTAAATTTGTTATAGATATAAAAACAAAAACTGTTTGTCTTCCTTCTTCTTTGTGTTCTGATAATCTGATAATGTCTCTCAAAATCTAACTTAAAATTTTTGATATATTAACTTCTACTTTCTTCGTTGCAAGTTGATGGCAAGATTGCCTTTGATTTGATCGATTGGCATGTATCTCTATTTAATGAGGAAAGAACCATACTCAGCAGTAAGATAGCTTGTGGTAATGATAATGAAAGATCATCGTGATGATGATGGACAGAACCTCATGTAGTAATTGATAGCAGTTCGCCAGGCCCTGTTCAATGTGTACGTTTTGTAATTTAAAACTTTAAATATATTTCAAGTTTGTCGACATCGAATAAGTTCAGTTCAATGCTGCAATCACAAATCAATATTTTTTCAACTATTTAAATACAACGAAAGAATTGTAGGACGCAATCACTGGACACTCCATCAAAAAATGCTTACGGATTTCTAAATGTGCCCCCGCAGTGTGCCCGTCCGCGTCATAGTGACTGACGTGAATGAGTACGCGCCAGTGTTCAACGAGGCCGCGTACGTGAAGGCGGTGGACGAGGGCCGCCTGTACGACGAGATACTGCGCGTCGAGGCCATGGACAGGGACTGCACGCCGCACTACGGAGACGTGTGCAAGTATGAGATACTCACCGACAGGAGCCAGCCGTTCACCATCAACAATGAAGGTTAGTTTGTGTCCTTAATTTATTTACGACTCTGAAAAAAAAGAAAAATAATTAATTTATTACTTTACTAAAAATTTATTTAGTAACATACATAGACCTTATAACAAATTGTAGTCACTAAAAAGGCTTACTCAGCATGTGTCAGGCGACCTTACGGCTCATTGACATCTTACAGAAGACCCGCTGGTCTTCTGTAAGAGCCTATACAGAGAGTGGTGTGCGCAACAATGACATTAAATAACAAACAACAATAAGACAAATATTAGTGGTAGATCAATATATACTATGAAACATATATGAGAAACATGACATATATAAATAATTACATAATAAGTGATGCAGTGAAAAGAAACTATGAATCCGTAATTTGTCTTTGGAGTGTGGTACAAGTAAGTTACCAGACACCAGATTACATAGACACCAGTTGTCTCTGAGGCAGAGTCTGCTTAGTATTGTTTTTGTGTATCTAAGAGATAGGTGGGGGAGAGAGAAACAAAACATTTGTTAAATGACTAATCAGCTAATTCAATCAAAATGTTCGACAAATGTCATACTTGGAAAAGGATTGTATACTTGCTTAATAACAAAGTTTTATATTGATAACTGGCTGTGTGGTCCAGCCATATAGAGTAGACCACCCCTTCCTTTCTCGTGGGTGTTGTAAAAGCCGACTAAGGGAGGGCGAGGGAGGGGCAGCAATATCCCTCTTAAAACATCTCTAAAGCCTGATTGGGATGATATTGATAGCAACATACCCACAACGTACGGTTTACAACTTATGGTTTGGATGTTCTGTTTACAGGAGTTATTCGTAATACGGAACCATTGGACTACGAGAAGTCCCACAGCCACATACTGTCGGTCGTGGCGTACGACTGTGCGATGATGCAGTCCACACCGGTCATGGTCACCATCAAAGTGAATAAGCCCTGCAGACCAGGCTGGAAAGGTTTGTGCATATATTCTATATATAAGCTTTTGTCCTGACTGTCACCAAGGTCTGCTTTTCTAGCAGTGAGGGCACTGGTGTCCCAATTGTGTATATCTCAAAAAGGTGAGAATGAAAAGGCAGGTCAGTTAGCCCATCGTGATAAATACCAGGAATTCAGGACGATGGTTTCTAGGAGGGGATCACGTGAGATCGACCTTATGGGGCATATTGCTAACAAAGGGACTGATAGTCCGCATTACTAACAATTCCTTCCCCCCCCCCCCCTGAAGTGTAAAGTGTTTCGGTTGTAGGGCTAGCGGAGCGCGTGGACTACGCGCCGGGCACGGGCCCGCTGGCGCTGTTCCCGGCGGCGCGGCTGGAGGCCTGCACGTCGGACGAGCGCTGCCCCGGCGTCACGCGCATCCAGGCCGCCGTCACGCTGCAGGCCTCGCACGCCGCCACCGGCTGCGACCGCGACACCTACTCGCTGCACTCGCAGCGCACCATCTGCGGTCAGTGCCTTACCACACCATCCACACTGCCCACGCTTATTGGTTTTCTAGAAAAATCTTTTTTTTTATGTAACTTAGAATGGCAAACAAGCTGACGGCCCACCTGATGGAAAGTGGTAACCGTCGCCAATATACATAAGCAGCACCATGGACATAACAGAGTATACTGTTTCGCCCATGATACTCCCTCATGCGTTGCCATTCCTGAGGACTCAGGTGTATTCTGTTAATTCACTAATCATAAAGCAAACGGCTTTTGTACAAAATCTCCCTCTTAGTCTTGAGATATGCAAGATACATATATGCAAGATCTCTAATGTGGTTTGTAAGTAATCACCGCTCAGTTCCTTTGCACAATACCTGATTATATTCATCGTTTATTTCAGGACTGGACCCGAAGACTGTCGACCTGCTGCCCAGCCCCGGAGCAGGCAACGAATGGACCAAGTCGCTCAAACCTGACTCAGGTAATGTATCAAGAATGTTCGTAGCATTAAGAGATTGTACGTTCGTGTACTCTGGAATATGGTTCGCCGTGTGGTTTCGGTATAGAATAGGCCACACCTTTCTTTTCCGTGGGGGTCGTAAGAGGCGATTAAGCAAGGGCGAAGGATGGACAGCAACGTCCCTCTTCAAACATCTCCAAAACTTAACTATGGCTGCCAATCCACCTGCTAAGTGTAGCAACTACTGGTAAAATCACCCTAAGTTCAGCAGTGAAGAGTTAAAGGCTGATATGATGATGACGATGATGATGATATTCTGGAAATGGGTTAATATTTTAGGTGTGCTGCCGGCCTTTTACTGTTTCCCAACTCACATCTTAGTCACTTGTAATCGAGTTTCAATTCTTTAAACTATTTTAAAGACCTGCCGTCGTAATAGATACTTAATACTTGACACGTGGTTGCAGGTCGCGACGGCGAGCAGCTGTTCGAGTTCGACGGCGAAACGACGGCGGCCGTGGTGCCGGAGTCGCTGCTGCCACACCAGCTGGCCGGCACCTTTGCCATCTCCACGTGGATGCGGCACGCGCCGCCGCCCGACCACGACAAGCATCGCAAGGAGCACATCCTCTGCCTCGCCGATGACCACAGTCAGTAGCCTTACCGTGCTAATATTTTTTTTATACCACGATGGTGGCAAACAAGCATACAGCCCATTTGATGGTATACGGTTACTGTAGCCTATGGATACCACTGAGGTGGCAAACAAGCATACGGCCCACCTGATGATAAGCGGTTACCGTAGCCTATGAACGCCTGCAATATCAGAGGTATTACGCGCCCGTTGCCGACCCGGAAGAAACCTCTTTACTCCCCTTTTGAAGAACCCCATACTGTAGTCTCTTGAGCTCTCTCTCTAAGCTTTCGCGGATGAAAACTAGCGATTTGCCTCGCCTTTGCACTGTTTTTTTTTTTTTAATAAAATATAACCCATATTACTCCATGGAGTAATATATGTAGGACGCATGCGTCCTGTAGGACGATGTTTATTACATACATATAATGTAATAAACATCGTTTGTTTGAAATTGACATGAATTATGGTTTGTTAAGTACTCTGTGATGTTTCCTTTTTTGTTTGTAATATTTGTTTGAAAGCAAAAAGATTACTGCCAAAAGATGAAAATAAAACAAAGATGAAATAAAATACCATCTATGTCTATCGTCAGAAATGAACCGCCACCACTACGCCCTGTTCGTGCGCAATTGCCGCCTGATCCTGCTGCTGCGACGTGACTTCGGAGACGGGGACCTCAATATCTTCCGACCAGCCGAGTGGCGTTGGAAGATACCGGAGGTCAGTTGTGAAGCTAACAGTTTAAAGCTTAACTATAAGAATGTATGCATAATAAATAGGTATTGTTGGTTCATAGAAAACTTAGTATATGTCTTCTAAGACCGTCAGTTACAATTTTATATTCAGTTTTGTAGCCATATTAAAATGTAGCCTAAAATCGTATCCATTCTTACTACATCCCCATAATGGCTAAGTAGTAATATTTATGGCGATTATGTGGTGTGCGCCAGGTGTGCGACGATGAATGGCACCACTACGCGATCAACGTACGCTTCCCGAATGTGGAGCTGGTGGTGGACGGTGAGCCGTACCGCGGCGACGGTGGCGCCGGACCCGAGGTCATCGACGACTGGCCCCTGCACCCCGCGCACGGCGTCAACACCACGCTTGTCGTCGGCGCCTGCTGGCAGGGTGAGTGTACCCACACCCCGCACTACCACTCGGTACCGTCTCCCGGTATCGATACCGACTCTGCGACGATTGTAGGTAGACACTTACTGTAAATGTAAAGATACTCGGCACCAGGGCTGCGGCTACATTATGCCCGTAGTCGATGCCTGCTAGTAGGGTGAGTATACTGGCACTCAAACTTCGGCGTCTACTAGCAGGGTAAGTATACCGGGATCGCGGCAACACCACGCTGGTTGTCGCCACTTGTGAGCAGGGTGAGTGTACCTGCATCCAATACTAGATACCAGATCAGCGCCAACACCAGGCTCGTCATCGGAGCTTCTTGGCAGTTTATTTAATAGCCTTTTATCCTGCCCTAATAGGTATTATAAACTCTTTTAAATAGGAAAAATAATGTTTTTTCATTGTGACGTTCTTCGAAACATTGCAATAAATTCGATTTTTAATTTTGTTCATTTTGATACGACTCGAACAACTGAAATGAGCAATCAAAATTAAGATTCAATTTTAATTTTGTTCATTTTAATCCGGTTCGAAGGACCAAAATGTACAATCAAGACCTTTTTCGATGTCTATTTTGTTGAATACTTTTATAAGAAGGAAGTGGTAATTTTCCACTGCAGGTACTGAAAGCGACATGAAGCACTACCTGCACGGGTGGCTGGCCGGGCTGGGCGTGGCGCACGCGCCGCAGCCGGCGGCCGCGCTGCGCTGCGTGGCGCGCTGCCGCGAGGGCCTGTCGCTGGCGCCGTCGCTGTACCTGCGCGCCGTGTCCGTGGAGGGCGACGGCGTGGCCGACGTCGAGACGCTGCTGCGCCGCGTCGCGTACGCGGACGGCCGGCCCGCGCCCACGCCGGGCCGCAGGAACGTGCACATCGCCACCACCGTCACCTGCGACAACGGCCGCGTGCTGCACGCGCGCCCCGCCGACTCCTACGTCATGGTGCTGCAGCCGCAGGTAACATCTGCTGTCACTTTCTGTGTAATGGCTTTGTTTTAAGAAATCCCTTAAGGAAAGATGACTGGGTACTCTTGAACTGTTGCTGACTAGAAACTTTATATAAAGTACATATTTATTAAAATTATTTCGTTTTTAAATTAATTTAAGTACATCAACTAAGTTAGCTCATTCTTTAACGTGTAATTCTGGGATAGAGTGGACCACTCCTTTTTCGTGGGTGTCATAAGAAACAAATGAGGGAATTTAATGATCGAGGAATGAACAGCAAATTCCTTTTTCTCAAACATGCTTGGAAATGTGAGCATTATTTTGACAATCTTCTTTGAGATAAATCAAAATTTTACTGGCTAGATACATGCGGGCAGCGGCCGGCAAAAGTTGTATGAAAATTCATATCTGTTGTGTTTTGCGGCCAGATAAATTACTATGCAAACTCATATCCGTCCTGTAATTTAAAAATGGAATGACTTTTACTTCGAAACATGACTACCAAGGAGGTAACTAATGAAAGGTTTTATTTAAATTTCGAACTGGCTTGCAAATAGAAAGCTGTTTATTAAAAAAAAACAAAGGAACATTATGGCGCGTGAAAAATTATTATTGTTCGTTATTCATCATTAAAATTAAAAAGTAAAATTGTGTTTTTGATTTCCGCGCATTGTTTGAAAAAAGTACTATACGAGCCTTAGCCACAACTAGGCATTGATGGAATCACGTATATGTGCCTCGGCTACGCCTCGGCCCACATTTGAACGTTCGTTCATCAATACCTTAGTTGCTGGCCGCTGCAGAAATGTACTATTGTGTTTTGCTCTTTTAAGGGCAAAGCAATAAACTGAGCTGTGACCATTTTGTGTTACTATGGCACACGCATGAAGGAATGGTAACAAAGGAGATTGTTAGATTATATATTTTGTTTTTGTATTTTTTTTTATTTGTGTTTTTTTTTATTTGTGTTTTTTTATTTTTATTCTTTTGTCTCTTTTGCTGTGTATTACGTGTATGTTTTTTTTTATTGTAATTTGTGTGCTGTAAGTAATGTAAATAAAATTATCTATCTATCTATCTATCTATTTACACCATCAAAAATCCAACTGCGGTTGCCAATCTGCAAAATCCTCTCAAGGGTGGCCTGTGTTCAGCAACGAGTAGTTAAAGGCTGATGTGATATGATGATGGCGCAGGTGCCAAGCGTGCTGCTGAACGGCACGGCGGACCTGGCGCGCGACTACGCGCACTTCCGCGCGGGGCTGCGCGTGTTCCCCGACGTGGCGGTGGCGGTGTCCGCGGGCGGGCCGGCCGCGCCGCGGCTGGACTCGTGCGTGGTGTCCGTGTACCCGGCGCTCAACCCCGACCACGAGGCGCTGGCGCTGCGGGCGGCCGCCGCGCTGCCGCGCCGCTACGACATCCGCGCCGCCGTCAGCCGCGACGGCGTCATCCTCTCCGGCGCAGACTCCGTGCACAACTACCAGAAGGTACTGTCTGAAACTGTCACCTACCGACACTACCACATCCTAACAATAGGGTTCCTGTAATTAAATATAATTGCCGTGTGTGCCCCGGCATAAAATGGGCCACCCCTTCCTTTCCCGTGGGTGTCGTAGGAAGCGACTAAGAGAAGGCAAGGGATGGGCAGCAGCATCCCTCTTAAAACATCTTTAAAAGCCTAACTGCGGTTGCCAAGTTACTACTGGCAAAACGTCCCTTTATGGGGAAAACATGTCCAGCAGTGGACAGTTAACGGTTAATTGACATAGTAAGGTCACGGATAGAGAATGTATATTTTAAAAGCATGTATAATAAAGAGCCCATCAACGCAAAATAAATATACTCAGTAAAGGTTGAAATTTAGCAAAAAGGTGATAGTTTTTTGTGGGCCCAGTATATACAGTATATCAAAAGATCGAGAATAATGCGAGGATTATTATAAAATAAAATTTTATAAGTAATTTATTGGCACATAAAAGTTTTCAGTTATTTTTGAATTGCGATTATTATTTTACATCAAAAGCCATATAATAATTATTAGTATTATAAAACATACAGTAATAACAACACATTAATAACAACACATTAATAACAAAGTTAGCAATGGCGAACTTATCTCTACTAACGCCATTTATTCTGTACTAACGCCATCTAGATTTAAAACGTGAAACAAATTGGACAGGTGCTCCGTGAAATCGAATACAGCAACAAGAAGCCAGCCTACTACCTGAACCGCGTGTTCAAACTCACCTGCTCGGAGCTCAACGGACGCTTCACCAGTAACGAGTACGTGCAGACGGTACGTGGCGACTGATACACTTTTAATATCTTGGAATAATCTTATTTTATATTTACATATGGGATCATCTAAGCCGTAGACCCATCCGGAACTTTTGTGCTTCCCCCTGCCTTATACCATCATTTCATAGATCCTATGTGTTACTCTAACGATATCCCGCGGTTTAAGATATCTGTAGACCCCTGGCTCTGGATAAGCCGTTCCCACTAAACTCATACGCATACTTGCCAACAAATCGCAGTTGCACATCAAATGTTCCATGGATTCCGATTTCTCCGAGCACAGTCTGCACAGCGTGTCCGAAGATAGACCCATCTTGTATAGTATATGCCTTACTGGCATACGTCCAGTTAGATTTGTTGTTAATGTAATGATATTTTTTTATTAAGCCCACCTGTTGAAAAGTGGTAACCGTCGTCTATTAACATCCAGCAGCATCATAATATCCTTGATAGGTCAAAGGTCGGAGGGTCGAAGGCCAGAATTTGGATTTTAGAAGTATTAAAATAAAAAGGCAAAAATCTAGTCTGAAAATGATGGTCGTCTTCTGAATCAGTCTTTGTCGTAACCCTTTGTTCTTTCAATGTTTTTTAGCTTTTGTCTGTCGAATGTCTTAGCGGCCAGCGAAAGAACTGCTCAAAGTGGTCAAAGCAATACTCACTATACCTTCAACACCACCACCATCTTTAACTACATTGAAAAGCCCTTACTCTCCTTTATCATCATAAATATGATATGGGATGGGAAGTTATGGAGACAAATCCGATGGATCAACCGACCTTCTTCACAAACATACTCTCCACCCAACCATAACCCAAACACTAGGAATAGACTCTAAACCATAAATCTATCCATCCATATTCATTCTTCGTAGCATAAAATGCCCTACTGTAGCCCAATAATTGCGAGCCTATCCTATAAGTGCATCCATTTCATCTCTGGAAACTCTCCCCATGGAAAGTCCATGTTGCTCCTAGTCCGTTATTTATTATTCTTAAAAGACTTTGGTGTTATGACTCTGTCTCTTGTAATTTCCCTGCTATATCCCATCTTTTAAATCGAAACACGAACATGTGAGCACAGCTGTTAAGGTAGCAGCACTAGTGTTGATGACGGTGTTTTGTATGTGAGAAGTGATATACTGTGTGTCCTCAGCTGACGGTGGTGCACCCGCACATGTCCGGCGGCGAACTCGCCCGCGAGCTGAACCCCAGCGGCATGGCCGACAAGATGGACGCGGTTGCCAGGGACAAACAGGTAAACAAAATTTAAGGAAAGAAAACATATTGCATTCAAATCCAACAAATTACAAGCACTTTTAAATCGTAATTTTTTATGATGCAGGGTTCGAAAAGTAGTTATCTGTTAAAAAGAGCCCGCAAGAAACTCGAACAGTTACTTTTTTAAATTTCTGTTAACATTATGTGTATTTATTTAAATGTACTATGTCTAAAATTACATAGTCGTTAAAAGCCCGTGCATGATCTACTAACACCATGCACATTTGTCATTCAAGTAATCGTTTAGAGTGTAATATGCTTTGTTCAATAAGTGTTTTTAATAACAGTTTTAAACTTATTGAAAGGCAGATTCAAAATATCCTTCGGTATCTTATTTTAATATTTAATGCCCGTTCCTATAAAAGTCCTATTAACTTTTTCTAAACGGTATTTACATAAAAAATCAACGAAGTACCATCTGCAAACTATACTATGCCACTATGCAGAATAGCATAGCAAAAACGAGATCATTAAACTAAAAAATAAAAATGGTCCTAAAATAGATCCTTGAGGTACACCCACTCGCACGAGCGACCCGTTAGATGTAATACTATTTATTTCAGCTTTTTAAATTTTCTTTTATAAATATGAATTGATTAAAGTTAAAACCATTGTCTTTGACACCATAAAAAGCTAGTTTTTCAGCAATGTTCATGTTCTACACAATCAAAAGCCTTAAATAGGTCACAGAAAACGCCAGTCGCATCCGTTTTATTTTACTAGGTAGTTATATTGGCTTTATACGTCATAGTCAAAGATAAAAATAAAACACGACGTGCCTCGAAAAGAACGCGGGTACATAGCTTAGCGTAGTATGTAGTAGCTGCGTAAAGCTTTTTTATTGTCTAACGTGTGTGACTTTGTATCCGTGATGCAGGAGGAGCGGCCGCCGGTGGCCGTGGAGGAAGCGGCGGAAGGTGCTCACGGCGAATTGGCGCCGCGCGTGTTCAATGCGCACGCGCAGCGCTCGCAGCACGCGGCCGACGTGCCGCAGCCGCGCGTGCTGGACCTGCGCCCGCACCCGCACTCGCACGCGCACTCGCCGCCCTCCAGTCAGTATACACGCACACCACACGCACACCACACGCACACCACACGCACACCACACGCACACTACACGCGCAGCGCTCGCAGCACGCGGCCGACGTGCCGCAGCCGCGCGTGCTGGACCTGCGCACTCGCACGCGCACTCGCCGCCCTCCAGTCAGTATACACGCACACCACACGCACACCACACGCACACCACACGCACACTACACGCGCCCGCACCCGCACTCGCACGCGCACTCGCCGCCCTCCAGTCAGTATACACGCACACCACACGCACACCACACGCACACCACACGCACACTACACGCGCAGCGCTCGCAGCACGCGGCCGACGTGCCGCAGCCGCGCGTGCTGGACCTGCGCCCGCACCCGCACTCGCACGCGCACTCGCCGCCCTCCAGTCAGAATACTCGCACACCACACGCACACCACACGCACACCACACGCACACTACACGCGCAGCGCTCGCAGCACGCGGCCGACGTGCCGCAGCCGCGCGTGCTGGACCTGCGCCCGCACCCGCACTCGCACGCGCACTCGCCGCCCTCCAGTCAGTATACACGCACACCACACCCACACCCCACGCACACTACACGCGCAGCGCTCGCAGCACGCGGCCGACGTGCCGCAGCCGCGCGTGCTGGACCTGCGCCCGCACCCGCACTCGCACGCGCACTCGCCGCCCTCCAGTCAGTATACACGCACACCACACGCACACCACACGCACACTACACGCGCAGCGCTCGCAGCACGCGGCCGACGTGCCGCAGCCGCGCGTGCTGGACCTGCGCCCGCACCCGCACTCGCACGCGCACTCGCCGCCCTCCAGTCAGTATACACGCACACCACACGCACACCACACGCACACCACACGCACACCACACGCACACTACACGCGCAGCGCTCGCAGCACGCGGCCGACGTGCCGCAGCCGCGCGTGCTGGACCTGCGCCCGCACCCGCACTCGCACGCGCACTCGCCGCCCTCCAGTCAGTATACACGCACACCACACGCACACCACACGCACACTACACGCGCAGCGCTCGCAGCACGCGGCCGACGTGCCGCAGCCGCGCGTGCTGGACCTGCGCCCGCACCCGCACTCGCACGCGCACTCGCCGCCCTCCAGTCAGTATACACGCACACCACACGCACACCACACGCACACTACACGCGCAGCGCTCGCAGCACGTGGCCGACGTGCCATATACATGTGTTACAAACTTGCAATTGATATTTGATCTATTACTGTTACGAAATAAAAATCAACTTGAGACTTGATTTCGCAGTAAATTTACTGTACATTAATGATAAATATTGTAAAAACTTTTAGCCTTTCAAGGGTCGACAACGCTCGACTAATGTTTCTAGAAATTTTTGTGGATCTTAACAATCACTAAAAATTACCGGATCGACTGAACGCTCGTCTGTCTCGTAACCTAAAAATGGATGGTATTAAAAGTGAACACATGTGGACAGACCACGTGGCGCTGGTGATCGGCGTGGTGTCGTGCGGCGCGGTGGTGGCGCTGGTGGCGGCGGGCGCGGCGCGCGCGCGCGGCCGGCGTGCCCGCCCCCGCGCCCCCCGCGCCCCGCCCGCCCCGCCCGGCCGCTGCGCGCGCCGCCCGCCGACGCCGAGATGGCCTGGGACGACTCCGCGCTCACCATCACCGTCAACCCCATGGACGAGGTGCGTCCGTCCATCTTTAAACTCGACAGCTTCCTCCTCGCGTCCGCCCCGAAGGACCAGGGCGATGTGTGATTCCCTCTCGTACATTAAATCACTAAAATGTGCATCGCTGAATTGTTGCTTTAGAATTGCCGAGTTTCAACTTCATTAATCCGGCTCGAAGGACCAAATCACAAATATAATATATGTGCATTGTCTATATGATTTATGTAATTAATATTGCTTTCTCTGATTTTGGTGTATATGTACGTGCATGTCCGCAGTCCGGAGGCGGCGAGGGCGGCGCGGCGCGGGCGGCGGCCGCGGCGGCCGACAGCTCCGACGCGGACTCCTGTTCCGACTCCGACTCCGACCACCACGACTCCTCCGACGACGAGGACGACGGTGAGCCACTCTTTCTCCTCTCACTTTTTACCCAGCTGTAAGAGAAATAGGGAAATTTTGGAGTACACTGAATGATTTTTATATGCCTTTTTTCCAAAAAAATAAACTCTGACCTACTTTGAAATAAGGGTTTAATAAAAGAATATCACCCTACAAGTTGCAAAAAAATCATCAAAATTAATATTAAAATAATAGACATATACGGTATACATATTTAGTACTTCCACGGATAGGTACTTAAAGCATGTTGTTTCCATTACAGTGATACCAGGCAAGCAGCACAAGTACAGAAACATCAGTCAACTGGAGTGGGATAACAGCACGATGTAATGCGCACGCGCACCCGCGGACTGTACTTAACTCCACCTCCACTATCGCCCTACATCACTCGCCCCACAACACCACACCCAGCGGAAACATTCCGTTGACACGCTACAATGGTACTCCGAAACCTATGTACACGACGAACCTTTATGTCCGCGTTACAAAATAACCCTATAAACGTGTAAGCACGTGTTTATAATAGTCTTTAATGGCATTCAAAAACCTGCGTAGATGGCGGAGTATAATATTCCCTCGTATAAGGGTTTTATTACGAATGGCAAGCGTAACACCATAGTCCTAAAAAATGGCAATGTATGAAAGATACCATGAGAATTCCAGAGTATTCTATTATGTTCCCAGTCCTGTTCTCGTCTATAGATGATGCAGTCACGTTTATCACTTTCCATCAGATGGGCTTTTAGTTTGTCCTTTTAAATATCATAAAAAAAATGGACTAATATTAATGTCGTGGATTTTGTCAGATTAAAAACCTAGGAAGTCGGTGCAAAAATAAAGTGAAATTTTATCCGTCATCTACGCAGTAACTTGTATAGTTAAACACAGTGAAAACACAAAGTTAGTGATAGAATTAAAGAAATAAACATGTGAAATTGTGAATCTTTAAAACTAAATCAATATACAGCAGGTAGCCATTCTATTACAGGATTTATTCTCGCCTTTTCCGGCTCGAAGGACCATTGTTACAATTGTCTTTTTACAATTGATCCCAGGATTTTTAAATAACACTTAAATTATATATTATTATATACATGTCGTTACCCGTTCGTAAAATCATCAAAATGACGATCCGTCATTAGATGTTTAATATTGCATTTACAGATAAAAATTTAACTATACTTCGTATATTTCAGATGACGGATAAACTTATGACAGTTTTTACTACAAAAGAACTGACAAATGAGACATTTGACATCGGAGTCAATGTAATAATAATTTATAATTTCTAACAATCAAATGTTCAGTCAAATGTATTAAAGCTTCGTAAGAGATGTTATTGCCATCTGTGACTCACAGTACTATACATACGGAGTATATAGGTTGTATCCTTTTTCCATTCTATACCCTAACCATAAGATGCGTGTTCAAATAAACCTGTACTGCGATTTTCAGTCGTATTACTATAGGTATAAAGTATACATTGCAGCGTGTCAGTCGATATTCGTAATAAGGAATTGATTTATACCGCTGCGCGGCACGACCGCCGCCGTCGTGAGGCGACGCTTGCACACGAAGCTCCTCCCCGGGCACGCTCCGTACGGTACGTGGTAACCGAGTGTGGAACAACGTTATCCGGCTCGAAGGACTATTTTCAGTGATACAATGTCATAGAAAATGTTTTTGTTAATGTACAAATTGTTGCAAGTGTTTTGGACAAACATTCGTAAAAGAATTGATGATCTTAGTCAATAAACAAATTGAAACAAGATTTTAGTAAAATAATTACTTTGTGTGACGTCATCAGAGTTGTAAATAATGGCAGTTGTTAATTATAGCCTGGAAGTAATGGGCTTAAAATTAAATTCTTTAGAAAAAAAAGAATAAACACTTAGAAAATTAAACTCTGACCTGCTCATTTTGATTTTAGAGTTGTACTTGAGCGACGTACCTGTCTTATCACGAGTTAATGGAAATCATATGCAATTTGAACGTTTTACTGACGATGTGACAATTTGTAATAAAGAATGAAAACCCATACGATTCTTAATCGATAATGTATTTTATCGTAATGAAATAACGTTCAAAATTGAATAGCAACAAGTAAGAGACTGTTTTTAAGTTTACTAATAATTGATTAAGATATATGTAGCCTTACAAATAATATAAATTCCATATAAAATGTAGCTGCACACACACACACACACACGGTCGGAGCGTGCACGGGACACATTTTATTTCTAGATTTATTGTAAGGTCTCAAAATTGATCATATCAAAAACTTTATACGTAAACGAATATTGTTTGTCCTCGCTTGCTTTCGTAGAACGATATCGTTGTTCTAATAGGGATCGCTCTTGACTTTTCTATTCGTTTGTAATATTACTGTATGTACTAGCTCTTGTTGTAATTTCGTATGGACTCGGTTAATATAAGGTAGTGTAAGCGTCAAATACTATAATATTGTATATTGAACACTAAGTGACATATGCTTCAATGATACTCCACTTGCTAAGCACAAATTTTTCCTAAAACAATCGCCACCACGTGGCGCCACCTGCGTATATTAAGTTCTATGATCTGTGGCCCGTTTGGCGCCATTTTGACGTACAGTTTTGAGTTCAGTACAAATAGAGCATTTGACCGCATTTATTTGATCCGGTACAGTGTACCATTTCAATTAGTAACGTTTTGTCTCACGACAAGATGTGTCCAACTTCTACCCTTACGAGCTTCTCATACAAAATCGGCTTAAATGTATATTAGGCACAGAGTTATTTGAAAAAAAAAATATAGATGTACGATAATTATACACATTATACAGATGGTATCGTTTAGAATCAGCTACTATAAACTATATTATATTATATATATATATATTTTGAATGCGTTAAGGAATTTTTACTAACAATTAGGTTAAGGCAAAGCCGCGAGCACAGTCGGCCGTAGGCGTAACTAGTTAGGTTTTATTTCATCTGTCGGCCGTTCAGCTAGCAGGCGGCGGTGTGCCGTCTCGCTCGCACCGCGGCGCACACGCATATCGCCGTCTCCGTCGGGAGGTTGCATATCATGGATCGTTTGCCATATTAGTATAGAGTATGTGTAAGTGACTGTGACCACTGACTGTACAATCATTAAGCAATCGTTGTGAACATAATCATTGATGTATTCCGTCTCTAGTTGACGTGTCGTGTGTTGTTCGTTTCCGTCACTTTCACTGTCAGCGCCCTCTGTCGGACCGCCAGTGTCGTTGCACAAATGTTCGTAATCTATGCTCGTCGGCGGTCGCTCTGACAGCTGTCAAACTGACAGGAGAGGCGAAGGTGTCGTGCTGTACAGCCTCGACTCTGTCAGTGTGGCCGTTGTCGAAGAGTCCACGAATGAAGGTGAGTTTATGTGTTTAGGAAGTTACTAAGAAGTTAATCGAACGTTTCTTTGCTGTTATAATATAATTGTGAACAAGGCAGTGCCACTGCAATCCAACGAATGTAATTCTTCGCCGGATTCCTGAACACAAACTCGCTGTTATTAAGTTTTTCTATTATGTAACATATTATAATTATTTTACCTGTTGAGCACTGTGTGTATTGCGACGGACGGAGAATGAGCTCGGCCCATTTACGTGTATCACCATTCGTTCATTCCATCACGAATGAAGCGAGCTGTCAAAGGATTTTATTCTCTACCCATGTGGCATAAAGGCTTATTTTTAGTCGTCGCGCGTGCACGCTCTTTACCCGTCGCAATATATATTTCACTCGACTACCGTCCAATTCCATTTACCTGCTTTTTATATTTTACAATGTGACTATTCCTCATTTTATGACCGGACGTGGCTCAAAACGCGCACAAATGCGTTTGGCATTTGATTGTAAACCGTCGTACGCCGAGTATTATGTGAGGTAGCTATTTTTTTTTTCTGTATTACATTTTATCGTTTTTACATTTATTTTGTATTGTCGCGGTATTATTACAGTATACTTATAGAACTTCTTTGATGTATGAATTATTATATTTTAGCTAAAAATAAAGTTGGTTTAAAATACGACGTGTTGTTTTATTTGGATCGTTTATTAAATTCACTAGGTACTGCTACTACTGTTTTTGTGAGATTGACGTTAAAAGTAATGTTTTTATGACAAAAAAGGCTGATTAACCATTTGATGAAAAAAACAGCTCTATGGACATCACAGGATATACAGTGACGTCCATGAGAAATCTCCTGCATTGCCATTCCTAAATACTGTTGTCTCTGTACCCTATAAATTAATTGTGATAACCCATCCTTCAGACCTAAACACAGCTGGCGTGTACTATCGCGGTTCCTTTTCCTCTCCCCAAAAATACTCGTGTAATACGTGCATTAAATTTTACCACAGACTCAAAAGGTACAGTAGACCTAATAATAAGGAATTACATAGATGAAATGATAAAAGCTGTAAATCATATGGTTGCCTCCTTTCTTCTTACGCAAATATAATTAGTAAAAAAGGACGAAAGATATACCATCAGTTGCTATTTTTCTCAATTCATAGCAGGCTAGTGTATAGATAATGTTTGATATGTCAATTATTTGTCAATAACAAATTTGACATTACTAGATCATATATTCGACACAGTTTATGTAGAAAGTATGCGAGCGGGTTGTATCTGAATTTGGTAGGGTTATACGGCCGTATATTTTCTTTACACTAGCCTGCTATAAATTGCCAATTTTATCACTCCTTCTATGTAATACCTTGTTCTTAGCAGTAGACTCGTACATCAGTGAGTTTGACAGATGACACATAAAAGAAATTGTCTATGGGATGACGAAGCTTTATTTTCATGTTTGTCCATGCCCCGACGGCTGCTTACGGAGTACATACGAGGTTTGTCCGGAAAGTACGTATAAAAGTTTATTAAAAATTTTATTTTACAATTATTCAGGTAAATCAATTTTATCCCCTTCAAAGTACTCCCCCTGTGACATAATGCACTTGTGCCAACGCCGTTTCCACTGTGAGAAGGCTCCTTGAAAGTCCTCTGGTTGTAGGTTTCTCAGCAGCCCCGTCGTAGCTTTTTTTATCTCATTTATGCCTCATTTATCCCCAAATGCCGCCCCCGAAGTACCAATTTGGTTTTTGGGAACAAGAAGAAGTCACACGGGGCCAAATCCGGCGAATAGGGGGGGTGTTCGGTCACCGTAATGGAATTTTTACTCACGGACAACAAGAGAGGTGTGGGCAGGGGCATTGTCGTGGTGAAGAATCCAACGCCCCTCTCGCGCCAATTCTGGACGAACTCGTGCCACACGAGCTTTGAGGCGTCTGAGCACATCGACGTAGAATTTTCCATCAACTGTCTGGCCTGGAGGGACGAATTCTTGATGGACAATCCCCCGAACATCGAAAAAAACAATCAACATTGTCTTGACATTTGAGCGGGATTTTCTTGATTTTTTTGTTCGTGGTTCCCCGGATGTCTTATCGAATTAGATCGGCAAAAATTTCACGGCCATTCTTGCCGAGTTTCGAGAGAAACTTGATTACGACGCTGCTCTTCAACGGAAGCGGGCTCCATGCCGACGGGGTTTCGTTAAGAGGTAACTTCACAGATGGCGTGACAAGCCAGTTCGCACCGCACGGCGGTCAGACCAGAACTGAAGCATTGTTAGGGACATAAGGAAGGGGTCCTGCGCTTACCTGGCCTCCCCACTCCTCTTTCTCGCATTCCAGAACACTTTTATACGAACTTTCCGGACAGACCTCGTAGAAGACAAGCCACAATTAATAACTGCAACTTCGTTCCCGGGATTTTATTTTGATGAGTGAAAATGGTATGGTAACCCCGCCTGCGCTAACGGGATACGCTGGCGGAGCACCAGTGAAGGGCGATAGATGAGAATGAAAACAGGCCAGTTAGCCTATCATGATAAATTCATCAGGAATTAACCATGATACTTTCCAGGGGGAACCGCGAGGAGATCGACCTGGTTGGGTATATTGCTAGCAATGGGATTCTCAGTCTCCATCACTAACAATCCCTCATTGAACCCTCCATTATAATCCATGTAAGCTAAAAGGAGTTTAATTAAACTACACGTAGTGTCAGTAACATCATAGTCTAAGGGAAGAAAAGATTGTTAGCAATTGGGATTAATAGCCTCATTGCTAGCAAATTACCCTATCAGATCGACGCGGTTCCCTCTAGAAACCATGGTGATTGATTTATAGTCGAATTCATCACGATGGGCTAACTGGCCTGCTTCATCCTCACCTATCATCCTTCACTGGTGCCACGCCGGTGTATACCGATAGCGTCGGCGGGGTTACCATTCCATATCATCCATTAAAAAAATCCATGTAAATAATTTTAAATAGTCTTTTTTTAATGGATGATAATGAAATTGTATTTTAAGTATGACAATTGGAACTTAACGTATTTAAAATATGTGTTAACAACGTTTAAGTTTAAACTAATGAAATGGCAACCCCGTCTGCACTAACGGTATAGGGTAAGGAAAGGTATATTGGTGATAAAAATGAAAAAAACTAATTTTATAAGAATTTTGCAACTAAGCAAAAAGTCACTTTTGTTTTACTACATCATCTATTATTTGAAGTAAATATTAAGAATAGTTTTAGTAACAAAAATCTAATAACTTTAAGAATAAATCTCAATTTAGTACACAAGAAGCCGAAGGTAAGTTGGCGATACAGTTCGGTAGATTGGTGATACTGGGTAGGAAATTTGGTGATAGTATGAAAATCTCTTATAATCAGATATTTTGAACTTAAAATATAAAGTATTTGGTACTTTAATAAATATTATTCCATGCAACTATCACACCTATAATACAGCTGTTCTTCGGGATCAGTATCTTCGATGGATGCCCAGATCTCGTAGTATGGCATGAGGCAGTACGAACACTGGATCCATTTGGCTCCATTTCTTTTTTTTTACATCAGCTAAGTACAAGACCTCACATAATCCACACTCCCAATCATTTTCTATTTCTTGAATTTTACTTTTTTTTGCTTTTTGAGCAGATTTGCCCGACGTTGAGGGCTGAGACTGAACGTTTTCTTGCATCGAATCTTTATTTGCATTAGCAATTGTTGGTGTTAAACATTTCGCGCTAGAATCTCTTTTTCTTGACTTTTCTAGGCGTTTTGAAGCTTTGGGTGTTTTTAAAATTAGATCTACTTTAGGTTTAGTATTTAAAGAAAAACTTTCAGATGCTGCAAGAGCTATGTTAGTTAAAGCTAAAGGTCGTAATGCTTCCTTTGAAATAGCATTTCTGTTTAAAGGACATATCCCCGTTTTTTTTTAAAAGTACTTTCAATATTCCTTTTAGTGATCTCCTCTTGATTCTCTAGGTATCGCTTTAAGGTGCTCCATGGGACGTCTGCTTCTTTGGAAACTTTATATATGGTTTTACCTTCATTTCTTACTAAACTAATGGCTTTTTGAAGTTGCTGCTGATTATATTTTCTATATTTACTCTCTTTTTCCATTGCCAATCTAGAGATATAACAAAAATAGGTTATTTAGTGATATTAAAAAATTATGTATAGGTAATTTGGTGATAAAAAAAAATATACTCAAACTCAAAATAAAACACATTCACAAAAAAAAATCTTTCGAACTCTATAAATAGTTTATTTTTAATATATACATCTCAAGTTAACCTCTCAAAAATGTATTTTGGCAAAAACACTGGCCACAACTTGATAAAAACTCACCTTAACTGTGTCACGACTTCACTACAGTTTTTTTCAATAATCATTAGTTTATTTAGAGATTTTAGTAAGTTTTTACACTGATTCACTAATTTATTTCAGTTAATTTTAACGAAATACATAACGTAGCGCAAACTCAGTAAATAATGGCGCCACTGATGCACAATCAACATAAAAGTTTGTTTACTAAACGCAGGAATCGTGTATCGAAGCGGTTAATATATATATATCTTTCTCACTCTCGTAACAACTTGCTAGCGCTGCCTCTTGAATGTGCTTGTACAGGTACACGAGTGGTATTCTTTCTAAAAACTATCACCAAATTACTTATATCACCAATATACCTTTCCTTACCCTACCTATACTGGCGAAGCACTAGTGAGGAATGAAGGCAGCTCTTTTTTATGAATGATAATATAATTGCAACCCCGCCTACGCTATCGGTATACACTGGCGGGGCACCAGTGAGGGATGACAGGTGAAAATGAAAAAGCAGGTCGGTTAGTCCATCAATAAATACACCTGGGATTCAGCACGATAGCTTCCAAGGGGGCCAAGTGGAGATCGATCAGACAAGGTGTATTGCTAGCAATGGGACTTGTAAACAGCATTACTAAAAGTCCCCCCCCCCCCTCCACCCATAAAGGCAGGTCAGTTAGCCCATTGTGACGAATAAGCCTGGGATGCTGAATCCCAGGCTTATTCGTCGCAATGAGATCATGATGGTTTCCAGGGGGACTACGAGAAGGTTGATCAGACAGGGTATGTTGCTAGCAATAGGGCTGGTAGTTCACGTTATTTACGTACTTAAAATTGTTATCTATGTTATATTGTTATATGGTGAGGGCAACAAAAGAGAATAGAAATAATTAAACATGCTTGGAAATGTGAGCATTATTTTGACAATCTTCTTAGAGATAAATCAAAATTGCCGTACTGGCCAAGATACATGCGGGCAGCGGCCGGCAAAAGTTGTATGAAAATCCATATCTGTCGTGTTTTGCGGCCAGATAAATTACTATGTAAACTCATATCTGTCCTGTAATTTAAAAATGGAATGACCTTTTACTTCGAAACATGGCTACCAATGTACAAATTAGTTACCTCCTTGATTTAAATTTCGAACTAGCTTGCAAATAGAAAGCTGTTTATTGAAAAAAAAAAACAAAGCAATATTATGGCGCGTGAAAAATTATTATTGTTCGTTATTCATCATTGAACTTAAAAAGTAAAATTATGTTTTTGATTTCCGCGCATTGTTTAAGAAAAATACTATACAAGCCTTGGCCACAACTAGTTGGCCACACGTTCGTCCATCAATGCCTCAGTTGCTGGCCGCTGCAGTAATGTACTATTATTTAAATAAACTTGTTTACAAGCTCTTTTAAATCGTCAATTTTTCATGATTGCACTGCTATGTTTAGGATATTGTTATCTGTCGAGAAGAACCCGCGAGGAACGCAATAGTTACTCTTTTTAAATCCATTAAAAAATACCTTCAAACTGAAACACAGCCATGTAAACAACTGTTTCACGGTAGAAACAAGAATGGGAAAGAGGTGTCCTAGCAAACGACTTTTGTACAAAGTCTCCCTTTGGTTCTATATACGTTGGCAACACTGTAACATTAGCAATTGCTGTCACAGTACAATACCAACATGTCGACATGTTATATTATAATAAAATAAATGGTTTTCTCTTTATACCGGACTTATTTAATAAACTGTTCCCTATCACATATATCAAAGATCAAACAGAAACTATACAAAAACAGCCAGGTGTTAACACTAGTTTAAAAAAAGGTTTAACAAGATCTAGTTTAAAAACTTAAAGTAATTCATATGAAATTATTAGATTATATCAGAATAACCATAATATGTCATAAGTGTGACTGGTGATGTGGCATTTTTTTTGATAGGTAAAAATAGTATGGTAACCCCGCCTGCGCTAACGGAATACGCTGGCGGAGCACCAGTGAAGGGTGATAGATGAGAATGAAAACAGGCCAGTTAGCCTATCATGATAAATTCATCTGGAATTAACCATGATAATTTCCAGAGGGAACCGCGAGGAGGTCGACCTGGTTGGGTATATTACTAGCAATTGGATTCTCAGTCTCCATTACTAACAATCCCTTTCCCCCCTCTATGTGGCATTAAAAATAAATGTCAGCCTGTTGCAAACTAGCTACCGTGTCTTATTACAAATTGCATTAATACTCATCAAAATAGGTCACCAAAATCTACTAGCTGTAGTTATGTAGATACTTATTCTCCTATTGCTAGCTAATATTACTCTATCGGTCGATCTCTACGCAGTTCCCCTTAAAACCGTCATGGTCTTTAAGAAATTAAAGGTAACAGGAAATGTAATTCTATTCCTATTCTTTCACTATCCAAGCTATCCGCCTCTGGAACTCCTTACCTCTTTCTATTAGATCAGCGCAATCTCTTGCCTCGTTCAAGAGGCAGGTAAAATCTAATTACCTATCTCTCTAATTTGCTTTGACGTTTACTACGTGTGGTTTACCTTGATCTATTTAGTATATTAATGTATTTATATTTATGTATTATTATTTATATTATATATTTATGTTTATGTATTGTAATCTTATTTTTATATTAACGATATTTAGAATGTTATGCATTTTATTTGGTAACTTCTTTTGTATTTACTGCGTCTGACTAGCGCCATCTATCTTTCTCTCTGTACTTATCCATTATTCATGCCAGGTTATCTGTAAGAGATTGCTTTTAGCGATAAGGCCGCCTTTCGTATATGCACATTCTGTATAAATACTCCTTGTATGCATCTCTACTGTGCAATAAAGAGTTTATTATTATTAAAGAAGAGCACTATTATCGTTAGACAAAGATGTCTTCTTAACAGTGGTTAATTCTTTTTAAATTCACCATGATATGTCCACTTACCTGTATTCGTCCTGATTCCTGTCAGTGTACAACATTTTTTTTTATATAGATGATATCTAATAGAACGGTAGCCCCGGTAACGGTATACACTGGCAGGGGGAAAGGAATTGTTAGTAATGGAGACTGAGAATCCCTGATGAATTCAATCATGATAACTATCATGGTTAATTCCTGATAACTGGCTAACTGGCCTGTTTTCATTACATTCTCATCAATATATATATATATATATATATATATATATATATATATATATATATATATATATATATATATATATATATATATATATATATATATTATACAACTTAGAATGGCCCACCTGATGGAAAGTGGTAACCGTTGCCTATACACATGAGCAGTACCATGGACATAACAGAGTAGGGAGACTGGGGCTGGTTGTGACAGGGGTAAGTAGTTACAGTGGCAACAGCGGCGAAACAAAGAAAGCTATAGTGACGATAGAAAGAGATAAATAACGCCACTATTACACCGCTCACACAGCACGATAGCTAGCAACGCCAGAGTTTTCGTGAAAAGAGCATGGGTGTGTCAGTAATAAAACAGCCAGTTTGTAAAATTTTCTATTTTTAGTAAAATTGGTCTACAATCTATTTTCCAAATAATCAGAGAGATGTCTGGTGTTATTTTTGAGCTTTAATGATTCTTTTTTGCAATAAAATTACGTTTGTAAAGTTTTATTCATTTGTGTTTTTATTGCTTAACCTCAAAAGGTCAATTTTGACGTTGGGGCTAAAAGTGACATTTGCTCGGGGCAGGTTGTGAAATGTCACTACATACCTCGTGGTTTTTCTTTCTAACTGATATAATTTGTACCATATAATTTATTGTTATTGACAGACTGTTTTGTTACTGACAGACCTATAGATAAGACGACTAACTCAGACATCGAAAATTGCCCTGCTCCAACACAGAACATAGAGACTGAAACTCCAACTTCATCTTTTTACCATATCCTCTTAAAATACCATAATAGAAGGCAATAAGTCTATTTCTACTAATCCAATTGTTGGATGTTTTAAGGATATTAAAAATATATTCTCTCCTGCAAATATTTGGCATTATCCGAAAGCAGCTGCCAGAAAAACTTAGACAACAACTCGCAAATCCGCTATCTTAACTGATACATCAGAAAAAAAATCTTTAGCCCTGGAACAAGAAAAGATTAAATCCAAAAAGGAAAAGTTAATTAAAGGATTAGAATCAAAATCAAGTTAGAAATTATAGATAAACAAAATATCAAAAAGATACCTAAGAGAAGCAACTAAGCAAACAAGAAAGTTAATAGTAAGAAAGAAGGTTTTACATGAAACTGATGAAGAAAGCTTAGAAAAGGAATATTTTGTCTGATATGTTGTGACCCATTTGATCCCGAGAAAGCTGGTAAAGAAAATTGGTCACATGTAAAATGTACTCATGGAAATATTATACACTATTGTTTGAATTGAGAAAGTGACTATTCAGACTATAGTGACTGAACTGTTTCTTTTCCTTGTAGGATTTATTGATTTTCTTTTTAATTCTGGCTTACTTTCTGTTTATTTTTAGTTTTATTTTTGAGATAATGTAACTTTTATTGATTCTTTTTTAAGTTGTTGTTTGATAAAGAAGTGTTTTTTTCTTATAGGTGAGAAATAATCTACGTTTTGGTTTTCTAAATATAAAACTAAATAGTATACATTTTAATTTTGTTTATTTCTATGTTTTGTCTTAATAAAATAAAAGACTGTTTTGTAAACATATTAATATGTTGATTAAATAAAGAAACACAATTATCTGTGACGATTGTTTCTATAATAATAAAAAGTCTTAGATTATGATTGTTTTCGTTTGTAACATTTTGCCCCATGTAGTGTAACAACCAGCCCCTGATACGGGGTTGAAAGTGACAAGTCTCCTTTTTTAGAATTCTTTCATTTATGCCCAACCTAATCATTTGGTACATAAGAAATATTTTAAATTTAAATGCTGAATAGTTACTTAATCAAACAAATCTATACTGATGTAAAACAAACAAACGAATAAAAAAATATGACACTTTAAAATTAAAATGTCACATCCATCCCCGGTCTCCCCTATACTGTTTCGCCCATGATACCCCCCATGCGTTGCTATTCCTGAGGACTCAGGTGTTATTTCTTTGTAGCCAGTAAATTCACGCCATATCCCACCCTTCAAACCGAAACACAGCCATGCAAACAACTGCTTCACGGTAGAAACACAAATGGGACAGAGGTACCCAAACAATCGACTTTTGTACAGTCTCCCTCTGGTAAAGCAGAAAATAACCACACATACGAGTAGTTTAGCAGATATTTTTCTATATAACTATGGTGGCAAACAAGTATATGGTCCGTCTGATGGCAAACGGAATTACCGTAGCCTATGGACGCCTAACACCAGGGGTGTCTGGCTACGGAGTTGAAAACAATAGACCTTGCTAAGTAACTGTAGTAAGTAATACAGTTAAGCAGTTTTGTTTGCATGGCTGTGTTTTGATTGGGTTTGAAGGGTGGAATATAGCGTGAATTTACTGGGTACAGAGGAATAACACCTGAATCCTCAGGAATGGCAACGCATGGGGGGTATCATGGGCGAAACAGTATATTCTGTTATGTCCACGGTACTGCTCATCTCTATAGGCGACGGTTACCACTTTCCATCAGGTGGGTCGTCAGCTTGTTTGCCATTCTAAGTTGTATAAAAAAAATAAATAAAAAAGATCACAAATGTCTCTGTACACCGCGTTACTCTGTGCGAGACTGCGCAAACCTCATAAAATCTTCGACAAACATACTGCATAATGCACCGCACAAGACCCGCCTAATGATCGTGAACGGGACGGATATCGAATGAAGACGCACGAGCGAGCGAAACGCGCTACACGCCGGCACAAATGCGCAACACCGCCGAGCGGGACGGCAAGATTTTAAATGTGTAATCGCGAGAGGGAGGGGCGACGGCTGCCTGCTGTTGGTCCAAATGGTGAATTATTGAAGCCGGCGACCGCCCTTTGGGCTGCGAGTGGCGACAGGGGCGGCGGGTGGCCCGCGGGCCGCGGGGCGACGGGGCCACTTCGCGCGCTATCCAACGTCACACCAATTTTGAATTTGGAACGGCGAACGGCCATCTTGGCCGTATTCGGTTTTCGCGAGTGCCGATGCTCATTTAGTGGCAGTTGACCAAAGACTAGTTTTGTTTTTTGACAGTGATGGATACAAGGCGCTGAGGTCGGCGGACAACAGGTTGGTCTGCTGAGAATTTATTATATACCTACGCTACCTTTATATACCTCTCTAGAGCGTGTAACGAAACGTATGTCTGTTACAAGCGAAAATCCAACTATTTATTTATTAAACTACTGTTATTAATTCCTATCGCATAGCAAGTTATCACTATGTTAGGTACCTAAGACTCCTTAAGACTGCTTAAGAGTTGGCACTACCTTTTAATTGACAAAACTGGAAAATTATTATATGCAACCATCTTGAAGATCACACAATAAAATATCAATATCGATAGAAATACATCATAAAAGATACATAGCTACTTTATAATATATATATATTTTTTTAATTCAATGAACTGCTTGTTTACGTTTTATATAAACGTTCTTTAATTGGAAGAGACAAAGGCCCAATTCCTATTGAGTTCATCGCAATGGTTCAAGTAACTTGCTAATTTTTTTACTACTATTTACGCACAGCCAACGTTGCCTACTGATTCCATTTGCATCCATTAAGAAACTCAACCTACTTCATTTAGGAATGCGTTTTGAGAGATGTTTAGAGAGTAAAAGACATTGTTGAACTAAACAATAGGTATACGAGAGGCTGGCGCCTGATGTTACCAGTTGCTAGTGCGTTTAATATCTCCGAATTGCCATGACTAAACAGCGACTATGGGGGGGAAGGGATTGTTAGTAATGCGAGCTATCAGTTCCATTGCTAGCAATATACCCTGTCAGGTCGACCTCCACGCGGTTCCCCCTGGAAACCATCGTGGCTAATTCTAATTGAATTCGTCAGGACGGGCAAACTGGCCTGTTTTCATTCTCATCGATCACCCTTCACTGGTGTTCCGCCAGCGTAACCCGTTAGCGCAGGCGGGGTTACCATTCCATTTTCACCCATCAAAGAAAAAAAAACAGCGACTTTGTGTTCTCCGAAGTACGAAGCAAGACATCATGAATCGTTTTCAAAAAATAGGTACGACTCCGAAGTTTAGGCTGGGGTTCTATCCTGATTTCGGTTTCTACTTGTAACATTGTCTGACCTTTCACCGGTTGTTCAATTTCATGAACATACATACATAAAATCATTATTTCATTGACTCTATGGAATGAATTTGATGTCGCCACTCCTTCTAGTGGGGGACTCTCTGTCCTACACTGCAGTTGCCTGTTCGGGGGAGCAACCTTTCTTTCATACATACATATATAAAAATAAATTCCATAAATAGATATGTTTTTTTTATACAACTTAGGATGGCAAACAAATTGATGGCCTACCTGATGGAAAATGGTAACGTCGTCTATAGGCATGAGTAGTACCATGGACATAACAGAGTATACTGTTTCGCCAATGATACCCCCCATGCGTTGCCATTCCTGAGGACTCAGATGTTATTCCTCTGTACCCTGTCAAGTCACGCCATATCTCACACTTTAAACCGAAACACAGCCATGCAAACACAACTGCTTCACGGTAAAAACACGAATGGGACAGAGATACCCAAGCAATCCACTTTTGTACAAAGTCTCCCTCTGGTGGGTTACCGTAGCCAATGAACGCCTGCAATACCAGGGGTATTACGCGCGCGTTGCTGGCCCTGAAGAAACCTTTTTACCCCTCTTTTGAAGAAACCCATGCTGTAGTCTTCTGGAAAAACGACGACAGTACTTCTTAAAATCTTTACTAATATTATAAATTTGAAAGTGAGTTTGTTTGTTATCTCTTAGCTCCTTAACAGTTTAACCAATCATTATGGTATTTGGTATTTATACAGGCATTGGTCATACGGACCAAGTCGGAAGTAAAAGTTATGAAGTAATTCAATTTCAAATTTAAACATACAAGCATTATCAAAGTATGGGTTATGCAATATATGTTTTATCATCGCACCGTTTGCCATCGACAGGGAATTCATCCTCACACGCTTGAACCTTGAACCTTTGAAACCGCACTGTACGCGACCATTTATTTATTCATTTAGGTCGCGTATAGTGCTGTTTCAAAGGAGTTTATCCCGGCATAATTTCCTAGGATTTCCCTAGAGACTAAAGTATGAAGTTCTTCAAAATGGGTATATTAAAGTTCCTTCAGGGTCTGCACAGTGTTGCAGGCGTCATTGGTTACAGTGACCGTTTAGCATTAGACGAACTACATGCTTGTTTTTTTGTATAATATTATTTTGTGTAACACAGATTTTATATTTTATGCATATAAAAATCATTAATTCACTCTTGCGCCACCTACCTGTTATCCATTCTGTCTGTTGTAAACAACCGTTTAACGGATTAAACGAAGATTGTCTGTAAAAGATTGCCCTAGCGATAAGATCGCCTTTTGTAGCTTTATGTATAGGTCTATTTCGATCTGTACGTTATGCTACTATAGTTTAATTGTATTTTCTAATTGTCATTGTATTGTTATTGTTGATGTTTGTTTATGACAGCATATGGCCGTAGTTATGGGGGAGTGCAATGCCTAATCCCTAATGCCCTACCTTGAGATGAAAGGCCCAAAGAAAAATAGACAAATTCACTTTTCGAAATCACTTAATTATTGCTTCTGCCCTACCAAAAAATCTTTTGCCCTACCTTAAACATGGGTCTAGATACGGCCCTGTGACAGCAATATCACGATCGACATATATAGATACACCCTGTATTATACAATCATACTATATTTAGGTATAGAAAGGGCTTAGGTAATACGTTATTGGTCACATCTATTTGATAATAAATATCTACAATGAATTCGTACTCCCTTCGTGTTTCATCAGTGGAAATAGGAATCTACGTTCAATACATCCGGATCGATGGCATTCCTTACGAGCACTCATTAGAGTCTAGTGCACACGGGTAGAGTAGAGAGTATATATAGTAGCTTTGAAGCAGAGTAGAATACTAAATACGTTACTAATTACACCAACGTAGATATATTTGGTAGATTACAAAAAATTAGAAGAGTTAAAGTAGTTACATTATCGATTGTAATTCTTTAATTTGATTTAAACAGTTTATAATAATACGTGTCTAGTTTTTTTTTTTTTAGTGGATGATAATGGAATGGTGCTATCGGTATACACCGGCGGGGCACCAGTGAAGGATGATAGGTGAGGATGAAACAGGTCAGTTAGCCCATCATGACGAATTCAACAAGAATTGTTCACGATGGTTACCAGGGGGAACCACATGGAGAACGACCTAATAGGGCATATTGCTAGCAATAGGATTGTCAAACTCCATTGCCAACAATCCCTTTCCCCCCATACGTGTCCAGTCAAGCAGCAAAATTGTAGAATTAGGTTACAAATAGATAGATAAATACTCCTTATTGTTTCCTCCAAAAGATTACAATAGTAAACTTATTATAAATACAAACAATTACAAGAAATAATCACAATGAAAAAATAATACAACAAAATTTAGTATAATTTTACATAATAGGAAACCTACAATACTAAAAATATTAGTATTCTTCGTATTGGTGTTATTTTTATTATATTATCAACTAGTATTCCGGCCCGGATTTGTACAGCTAGATAGAAGTTTGCTTAGGTACCTACCACTATCGCACTCTTGTTTCTGTCGCCCAGCAGTTGTGTTTATCTATACTTATAATAAATCTGTAGAGAGGTCAACTCTGTACATGAAATATATTTCCAAAATAACTATCAGCGGGTGATTAGTGATCGATACTGATGACAAAAATGCAATCGGTAAAATTTTTGTCTGTCTGCCTGTCTGTATGTTCGTTATAGAAACAAAAACTACTCGACGGATTTTAACGAAGCTTGGTACAATTATTCTTCATACTCCTGGACAGGTTATAGTATACTTTTCATCATGCTACGATTAATAGGAGCAGAGCAGTGAAGCGAAATGTTGGGAAAACGGGAGAAGTTACTCCATTTTTTAAGCTTCCGTCGCGTATGCAGCCTTAATGGCCACTTTCTAAAATGTAAAAATGTCCACCCGCGCGTCGCCGGGACGGGCTGCTAGTCTATACTAATAATATAAAGAGACAAGATTTGATTGTTTGTTTATAATAGATTAATTCAAGAATAACTCAACCGTTTTTAAACTATCTTTTGCCTTCAGAAAGCTACATTATCAGCGAGTAAAAAGACAATATACCTTTTACTTTAGAACATTGTATCTGCGCGTGCGAAGCTGGGCCGGATCACTAGTACCTATATCTATATAGTTGTGCAACTGTATTTTTTTTTATACAACTTAGAATGGCAAGCAAGCTGACGGCCCACCTGATGGAAAGTGGTAACCGTCGCCTATAGACATGAGCAGTACCATGGACATAACAGAGTATACTATTTAGCCCATGATACCTCCCATGCGTTGCCGTTCTTAAGGACTCAGATGTTATTCCTCTGTACCCTGTAAATTCACGCCATATCCCACCCTTCAAACCGAAACAGCCATGCAAACATAGTTGCTTCACGGTAGAAACACGAATGAACTGTATTTCAGTTTGAAGAGATACAGTCGTGAAAATATAGGGTATCAATATAGATATAACATCTTAGCCCTCGAGATTGGCAACTTAAAAAGGAACTATGGACATTACAGTATATTTTGTAATATCCATGGCCCTAATTAAGCCCATAAGGAACGATTGCCACTTTTCGTTATGAAATAAAAAAATATTTATTTATTTATTTAACTATTTATTGTACCAGAGACATAAAAATATATATAGTGACAATTTAATAATTTAAGTGAAACACAATAACATAAATACAGATTAAAATATATACATAAAGGTATAAAAAATTAAATTACTTATGTATTTTCCTTTTGTTTTTTTTTTCGTATTTGTACTCTTTTTTGCGTATGTATCTATATCTATTGTTATTTATGTGCCGTAAGTAATGCAAATAAATTATATATCTATCTATCCGTTAAGGAAGCCATTTCAAATTCCAAATTAAAAAAAAAATCCATAGAAAACTAACAGTTATGTCAATTTGAATACCTTTTTATATAAATAGAGTTGTAAAT